TGAGCTAATAATTGATCACGCTTAAGTGACGAAGCCTCCATAAAAATCCCTAAAATACAAGGCTCAGAGAGCTTCCAGGGTACTGACCACTTGTAGCTGGAGAAGGTGGTATGCCTGCAGAATGCATGGAACCTTTGCACCCTTTCCCACATACCTTGCCCTAAGCATTTCTTCCAATTGGCTATTCATCTTTGTAACATCTTTTGCCCTATGTAAGATCCTTTAAAGCAGCGGTCCCCAACCTTTTTGGTACCAGAGGTTGGTTTCACAGAAGACAATTTTTCCACTGACTAGGGTTGGGGTGGGGAAGGCAGAGCTCAAGGGGAGGTGGAACTCTGCAGCCGGTTCCTAACAGGTCTTCCTAGCAGGTTATAGACTGATACCTGCTGTGTGACCTGGTTCTTAAGTTTCTTGGAGGACAATTTTTCCAAGGATGGGTGGGGAGGGAGGTCGAGGAGGGCAGGGGAGACGCAGAGCTGGGGGCGGGGATGGGGGGTGGAAGGTGGAGCTCTGTGGCCCAATTCCTAACAGGCCAAGACTGGGGTTGGGGATCACAGCTTTAGAGTAAACAAGTTAATGTAAGTTTTTCCCAGAGTTTTTTGAGCTCTTCTAATACATGATCAAAGATGAGAAGGGGGTTGTGGGAACCCTTGATTCATAGCCAGCTGGTCAGAAGTACAGGTCACAACCTGGAACTTGAGACTGGCATCTGAAGTAGGGGGCAGTCTTGTGGGACTGGGCCCTCAACTTGAAGGGTCTTCACTATTTTCAGGTAGATAATGTCAAACTAAGTTAAATTGTGTGACAACCAGTTGATATCTACAGAGAATTGGAGAATTGCTTGGTGGGAAAAAAACACCTCTAGACATCTGGGCACAGAAGTGTGTTGTGTTGAGAGTATAGAAAGAGAAAGCAGTTTGTTTTTCTGTACTAAAGGGTACATGGGAGAGGAAAAGTCTGGTGTTCTCCAAAGAGTAGCACAGTATTCTTTTATTCCTGGGTTGATCAGTCTTTACTCGCCCTTGCCACACACTGGATTTCTCTGAGGTTCAGAGATATGTGATGTTCAGTTCTACTAATCCTTCTCATTCCAGTACTCATGCAGAGATTCTCAAAACAGAAACTTCATTTTGTTTAGAAAACAATTTTCAGAGCTTTTTCAAAGAATAATCACTATAAACAATTTGCTCCATATATACAGAAGAGGTACTGACAGGGTCCCCTTGTACAATTCCAGGTGGCTACATTTACATTTCTATGGAGACATGCAATGTAGAGCTATACTGGGGACTCAGCAGCCCATTATCAGAGGTTTCAAAATATCTGGCCAGCACCTTTTTTTTTTTTTTTTGAGACAGAGTCTCACTTTTTTGTCCAGGCTAGAGTGAGTGCCGTGGCATCAGCCTAGCTCACAGCAACCTCAAACTCCTGGGCTCGAGTGATCCTTCTGCCTCAGCCTCCCAGGTAGCTGGGACTACAGGCGTGCGCCACCATGCCCGGCTAATTTTTTTATATATATATCAGTTGGCCAATTAATTTCTTTCTATTTATAGTAGAGACGGGGTCTCGCTCTTGCTCAGGCTGGTTTTGAACTCCTGACCTTGAGCAATCCGCCCGCCTCGGCCTCCCAAGAGCTAGGATTACAGGCGTGAGCCACAGCGCCCGGCCTAGCACCTTTTTTTAAAATGTATTTTTATTTTAAATTCAGAATTTCAATGATTTTACTGGGGTCTGATTCACTTTGGTTCTCCACAGTACTCACAACTAACCCACACCTTCCAAATATTCATATTTAAATTACGGGCCTTATTACTAAAGACATAAGAGTTTGTCCTGCCAGAGCAAGATCTTCAATTAATTACTCTGATGACTGCCCAAGAGGCAAATCCACTTCTTTGTAACTGCTGACAAGTTTTATGCTTCATCAGGATTTTGCTGAGAAGACTGGCTCCCTTCATATAAGAATCTAGCACCTAGAATTTTATTTGTTTTTCTATTTTGGCTTATTCATTTATCCAATCAGATTTTTTTTTTTTTTTTTGAGACAGAGTCTCACTTTGTTGCTCAGGCTAGAGTGAGTGCCGTGGTGTCAGCCTAGCTCACAGCAACCTCAAACTCCTGGGCTCAAGCAATCCTGCTGCCTCAGCCTCCCGAGTAGCTGGGACTACAGGCATGCACCACCATGCCCAGCTAATTTTTTTTATATGTATTAGTTGGCCAATTAATTTCTTTCTATTTATAGTAGAGATGGGATCTCACTCTTGCTCAGGCTGGTTTCGAACTCCTGACCTCGAGCAATCTGCCCGCCTCAGCCTCCCAGAGTGCTAGGATTACAGGTGTGAGCCACCGTGCCTGGCCTATCCAATCAGATATTTTCCATTTTCCAGGAATTCCTAAAAATTCCTAGTCCTCTGACAGCATCCTATCTTGTTTTATTAACTTATATTTTTTAATATATCTTTACTGTCATAGCAATAGAATTTTTAGGGAGAAAAAAATACGTAAAGGCAAGTTTTTAGTCTGCTCTCTTGGACTATAAATCTGAATCCTCTTTTTAAAAATAATCTCATTTTTGGTACTTGATTTCATTTACTGCTAGTAGGTTCCACTGTCCTGTGTTCTTGAGAGTGCAGAGGACAAAGAGATACAGATATGTATTTTGACAGAGGAGCTGTTGTGCATTACCACAATTTTACTTAGAATGTGAATTATCCTGGGTGAGACAATATATGTAAAGATCTTAGCAAAGAATTTGGAATATATTATGGCCAATACTCAAACAGTCACTGTTAATATTAACAAGAACTTAGCAAAGAAAAGGAGACAAAAAGAGGCAGTTAAGAGAGAACTTAAGAGATTCAGATGAAGGGAGAATGGCAAAACAATTATCATTGAAAGAGCTTAATACTGTAGACCCATTTATTGACTATTCATAAGACCTACTAAGTTCATAATGTGAAATTTTCCTGATATTGAATATGAAAATATTCAATACAATATAAACTGAGAGTTTAGAAGAGAATATAAACTGAGAGTATAATGGACAAGAAAAAGTCAAGTCATTTATTTAATCTAAGCCTAGCCAGGATAATTAAGGTAAGCCTAGTCAATTGTCTAGTAGTTCTTCATTTATGATCATTTTACATCTTTGATGAGTCTCAATTATCTTTATTGCCTTTTACAAGGGAAATTATAAGCGTTAGTGGTAATTGTAAATGTCTCTCCCCCCCCCCCCATAAACAGAAAGAGGCTAGTTAACCTTAATCATTTAGATTAGGCAAAGAAATTTGAAAGACTATCTTTAATAACCTCACACAATTACTAAGTTTAGCAGAACCTGAAAGGAGGAAGAATACTGTGATGAAAAAAAGGCAAAAGCCTGGGACTTAAGAACACATTTCCTACATCCTGCTCATGAATATAGGCAATAAAGAATTAATTTAAAATCTACTGGGGATAGCATGTTTTACCATAAATTGTTTTTAACACAGGCTGCTTCAAAGATAGAATTTTTATTCATAGATAGTTCATAAATAATTTCACCTTATATCCCCCTTTTAAGAGGGGCATCCCTGGAAAGATACTATTTAGTAATTCCTCATCTTTTTTTTTTTTTTTTGGAGACAGAGTCTCGCTTTGCTGTCCAGGCTAGAGTGAGTGCCGTGGCGTCAGCCTAGCTCACAGCAACCTCAAACTCCTGGGCTCAAGTGATCCTACTGCCTCAGCCTCCCAAGTAGCTGGGACTACAGGCATGCGCCACCATGCCCGGCTAATTTTTTTCTATATATATGTTAGTTGGCCAATTAATTTCTTTCTATTTATAGTAGAGATGGGGTCTCACTCTTGCTCAGGCTAGTTTTGAACTCCTGACCTTGAGCAATCTGCCCGCCTCGGCCTCCCAGAGTGCTAGGATTACAGGCGTGAGCCACTGCGCCCGGCCCAATTCCTCATCTTAATGTGGGAAAAATAATTTTAATTTCATTCTACCCAACAGAAGAAAGAGAAAGGGTGGGAAAAGTGAATTTGTTTTATAAATTGATTCTGCACAATGAATAATTAGAGTTCATTTTATTGCAATCAACTCTTGTCTGTTCATGGAAGAAAGGGCAAGAAAAGTATGAATGGATGTATTCCCTAACAATAAACAACATCTTATAAAGCCATATTTTCCAAGTAAGATCAAAATCTACTGGCTGATTATTGCTAACCCTATTAGTTCTCAGTCTAACCTCTAATGTAGGAATTCCTAACTTCTGGACATGTAATACCTTTATGATAACATTTGTTAAGTAAAAAAAAATTGAAATACTGAACAACAGCATTCATACTTTTAATTTCTGTTGTCTAAGAAAAAAATGAAAAACTTTGACTTCAGTTGTATTCAGAAATGAATTTTTTTTATTAATGTTAAAAGCAACCATATACATTAAAAAAGTAGTGATGCATATAGACATATTACTTATTGAGTCTACTGGCAATAATTTTTGCACTTGAGGATTATAGGCTACCCACAATAATTTTGCAGATTTCTCTGCTTTAAATGTCATTTACAAGGTACACTTTTCCAATGGTGACACTAATAATAATCAAAAGTTATGTAGACAAGAGGAAAAATATCAAGCACAATGAAAATTCAACATTTGATAATAACTCAGAATGGGAATTTATTAAGGGTGAAGAATGAATCTTACCTGTCATATACTAGATAATAAACAAGCTCAAGACTGAAATTCTAACTGATTTTAAACCAGTACTCAGACATGAATGTGGTGCACTGTTTGGCAGATAGGTTAGAATGTCGAATCTGACACTAGAAGATAATTTGTTTCAGTTGAGGAACATAGACTTGGCAACAAATAACTATCTTTTCCATTCTTATTTGAGATGGATCCTTTCTATTTGCATGACCTCTAAGTATGAATAATATATTCATTTTCAACAACTGATTTTTCTGAAAGAAACAAAGAAATAGCAAAATGATGATATTAAAACGGACTCACCACTGTCCTCTGTTTGTTGGGCAGGAAGACTCTAACGATAGGTTTTTGTGGTGACTTGGGGTTGCTCCGTGACACATCTGTGGGATTTTGAAAAACTGAAAGAGATGAAGGTAGCACTGAAAGGCTAGAAGAGGAAGAAGATGTAACTGTGTCCGTTGACGCAGAGCTAGAAACAGAAAAATCAGTTCCATTCCCCAGGGATTCCAATAATTGTTGTTCTCTTTGTTGGAGGGCATCTAGCTTGCTGGTGTATTCTTCATAGGCCTATAAAAAAATGTAGACTTATATTGAATCTGGACTTTATCTTGACATTAACAAAAGGAAAAATGAAACTTCATTCTTTGATTATAATGTCTTTATAAAATAGCTAACAGAGTTTTAAGTTACAAGTTACAAAATAAGTGCTACAAATACTGTAAAGTAATACTTTCACCATTAAATTGATAAATTGTTCTAAGGCACTACACTACATTACACTGAGAAGTCTGGCCCATATGTATGTGATATCTAGATGGTCTATGAATAATAAAAAAGCATAGTATTTCTAGCTTTCTCATCAAATCATAATTTATCTCCCAAATCACATATCTAATTTAAGATAAAATACTATACTATATCAAGGATAGGTGTCCAACACACCCATTAAAAAATTGAGTTGTAAGCATATAAAGTTTCATGCCCCCCCCCCAGTCAACAGAAAAAGAAGTTGAAAAGGAGATGAGGTGTTAAAAAGGTTTGTCAAAAAAATGAGACTCAGGACACAATGCAAGATATCATTATTAGCACCAAAACTTCCTGAATGTGGCTCAGAAGATGTGTAACTGCCCTCTTCTTCTATTTTGTTTATTTCTCATATATAGCACTTACACAAATAAAAATATATCCATCTGCTTCTCCAACAGCCCAATAATAAAATCCTGAAGATAGAAAATGCCATTTTTAAATCTTTGATTCTCCTTCAAGGTCTTTGCAGTATTATAAGCTTAACAGAAAAAGAAGTTGAAAAGGAGATGGGCTTGGTAAAAATGTGTTAATTGTAATGGTTCCTATTTTGATTAATAAAGATGTGTTTGAGCCTAGTTATTAATATAATGATTTAAAATTCATGGTATGAAACCACAATTACTTTTGCACCAATCTAATATATGATTCTATTTATATGAGGTTCCTAGAGTAAACAAATTCATAGAGACAGAGAGTAGAAGGGCAGTTGCTAGGAACTGAGGGGAGAATGGAGTGGAGATTTAGTGTCTAAAGGGCACAGGATTTCAGTCTGGGATGATAAAAAGGGTCTGGAGATAGATGGTGGTAATGGTTGTACAACAATATGAATGTGCTTAATGTTACAGAACTATATATTCAAAAATAGTTAAAATGGTAAATTTTATGTTATGTATATTTTGTCACCATTAAAAGAGAAAATAAAAAGTGTTAAGGACTCTTAAATGGATTGGAAACCTGTAGAATGGTAGGACTCAGTGGGTTATCATCAGTAGACCTGGCTTTTCACTAACAGGGCCTCAAATATCAATACCTGCAGGTCTTTTCTCTTGGGTTAGTCAACTTTCCCCAGGCAAGAATTCTATTATCAGCCGGGCGCGGTGGCGCACACCTGTAATCCTAGCACTCTGGGAGGCTGAGGCGGGCAGATTGCTCGAGGTCAGGAGTTCAAAACCAGCCTGAGCAAGACCCCGTCTCTACTAAAAATAGAAAGAAATTAATTGGACAACTAAAAATATATATACAAAAAATTAGCCGGGCATGGTGGCACATGCCTGTAGTCCCAGCTACTTGGGAGGCTGAGACAGGAGGATCGCCTGAGCCCAGGAGTTTGAGGTTGCTGTGAGCTAGGCTGATGCCATGACACTCTAGCCTGGGCAACAGAGTGAGACTCTGTCTCAAAAAAAAAAAAAAAAAAAAAAAGAATTCTATTATCTCTAGCCAGGGTCCTCTTCATGGTATATAAATGGTGATAAGTACAATGTTCTAACTCATTTATGTGTTTGTTGTCTATATCTCCCTACCCCCATTAAAATATAAGCTATTAATATTTAAAGGCAGAGATTTGGGGCCATTTTTAAAATTGGTATTTCCTAGGTCCTAGAACAATACAAATGCTATCAGGCACTCAGTAAATATGTTAAATGAATGAATCAACTATTTATGAAGTACTTAATACATACGTCAGGAACTCTATTTCATAATTATGAACTCAATGAATCCTTAAATTGCCACACATGATATTATTCCCATTTTACCAATGAGGCTGGGAATAAGATCAGGTATTCTGTCTGTGGAAACTAAGGTGCACTTGGGATTCACACATGGAGTCTGTGTGACTCCATGGTTCATCTTAATCATTATATTATACTGACTTCTACAGCATGTGTGTGTATATGCATGTGGTATACACATATATGCATACTACAAATTGTGTAGCACTAGTCCCTGAGAATAAGACTCTGCTTTACCACATGTTAATGATATAACCTATGAGTTATGGTCTGATGTACACTATCCTAATTATACTTAATTTGAATAGGCGATTCAATTTTGTGTGGGTAATTCTAAAAGGAACCAATCAAATAGAATATATCTAGTATAAGGTCCACTAACAATGTCACAAAAAATAGCTTAAAGGAATTGGAAATAGTTAGCCAAAATAAGAAGAGCTGTTGTGGGGGGACAGGGGTGAGAGAGAGAATGTCATGATAAATATAGAATAAGGTAGTGGTCAAGAGCATAGACTTCTGAGTTAGAGATCTGCATTCTTCCAATTACTAGCAGTCACTTCAGGTAAGTTACTTAGCCTCTTACTGTTTCTTCAGCTATAAGGAGGAGACAGCAAAAATACCCAGTATCTAGTATCTAGCTCAAAGTAATTATAAGGATTAAATTAATAAATGCACTTAACACAGTACTGGGCACAGAATAACAAGTTTGAATATTTGTTGTTGTTGTTAATGATCAGTCCTTGAATAGTAAAAAGTCTGAAGAGTGTGGGTGGAGGAGGTGGTGAATCATTGCTATAGTGAGACATGGTTACTGATGCAAATGTATTATATCTGAGCATGAGGGTAAAATTGTCCTTAAGACACAGAAATGGTTGGCAGAAAAACTGCTGGTTATAGTGTCTGATTCTGATTAACAAAACATTACCATTTTCAGTAGGACTATTTGCCTCCTTATGACTTCTTTGCTTGGTCTCCTAAGACATACAAGTAAAAGAGATAGCATGGGATATTAGGAAGTATACTAACTAGTATTCAGAGATAAGAATTCTAGTCCTAGCTTTAATACTAACTAGTAGTATGATCTAAGACAAGCCATATGAAGTAGAGGAGAAAGAAGAAAACAGTTTATTAACTGTTATTTCTGAACTTTCCAAGTTTATTTTAGAAATGCAAGGTTATTTTCTCATAAAATACTGAAGATTTAATTTGCCCTTTAAAAAGTAATTAGATTACTAAGTTAGAAATTTAGTTTAGAAGCCTCTGAATCTGTGCTTAAAAACTTCCAGCATTTAGAGCCAAATGGCAACCTGATCATTTATAATTTAGGGTTATCTCCCTGTATGACTAATGATTATAGCTGAGCCAGTTTTTATAGAGGAAAGCAGTGTAGGATAGTAGTGAACAGTGTGGACTGTGTAGAGCCTGACCACCTAGACTCCATAACAGCTTGCCGGCTTACACAAGGAAACTAATGCCAAGAAATCTTATCTGTGATTAGAATAGTACCCACTATCTCATAGGATTAAGAACAATGACTAACTCTATAAATCATGCTCAAGGCTTGGCACAAACCTCAAGACACTATTAAACAACAAAGCTAAACAATGTTGGACTACTTACAGATTATAAATTTTTCCTATAAGAAAGCAGAAACCAATATTGGGGGGGCTTAAATTAGAAAAGAGGCCAGATGCAATGCCTCACCCCTGTAATCCTAGCACTCTGGGAGGCCGAGGCAGGCGGATTGCTCAAGGTCAGGAGTTCGAAACCAGCCTGAGCAAGAGCGAGACACTAAAAAAAATAGAAAGAAATTAATTGGCCAACTAAAAATATATAGAAAAAATTAGCCGGGCATGGTGGCGCATGCCTGTAGCCCCAGCTACTCAGGAGGCTGAGGCAGGAGGATCGCTTGAGCCCAGGAGTTTGAAGCTGTGAGCTAGGCTGACGCCACGGCACTCTAGCCTGGGCAACAAAGTGAGACTCTGCCTCAAAAAAAAAAAAAAAAAAATTAGAAAAGATATTTTACAAAATTGCCCCATTTTCCAATATGGTAACTAGTTTGCTGACCTCCAAAACAGTGTTCTCTCTCTTCTTTTTTTAATTCAAAGAAATATTTTGAAATTTGTAAATTACAAAAGTAATGTTTATTGTAACAAGTGAAACAAAACAAGATTAAGAAGTATAATAAAGGTAAAGCTAATTCTCTCTTCTTGTATCTATTCCTAATCCTATCCCCTAAAATAACCAAGATTATCAGTGCAAATGCTTTTGTAAGTTCGCTTTTTCTTCCCAAAATTACTAAAGACATGATACTCAAAAGCTTACCTCCAGATATATTGATGGTGGATTATGCTCCCCACCAAATTTGTCCAACAGGGCCTCTATATGTTCTTGTGTCAACTTAATCATTTGTTTGATATTCCACACCTAAAAAATATTTTAAAACAATTTAAATAAAAGTTACTTAGGATATGAATTAGAAATATTTTAATGTACACAACTACATTATAGTAACTTTCAATGCTCCTCAAAATTGATAGCTTAAAGATCATTTAGTATAGTGGTTTTCTCTTTTATTGTTTTTTTTTTTTTTTTTTTTTGACAGAGTCCCACTTTGTTGCCTGGGCTAGAGTGCCGTGGCATCAGCCTAGCTGACAGCAACCTCAAACTCCTGGGTTCAAGCAATCCTGCTGCCTCAGCCTCCCAGGTAGCTGGGACTACAGGCATGTGCCACCATGCCTGGCTAATTTTTTCTAGATATATTAGTTGGCCAATTAATTTCTTTTTATTTATAGTAGAGACGGGGTCTCGCTCTTGCTCAGGCTGGTTTTGAACTCCTGACCTAGAGCAATCCGCCCGCCTTGGCCTCCCAGAGTGCTAGGATTACAGGCATAAGCCACCGCGCCCAGTCTTCTCTTTTATTGTTAAGCATCTTTAATTTTCTTCTGCACTAGTAATATATTCCCAACTCTAAAAGATTCAAATGATACATTAGTATTCAGAATAAACCATGAAAATCTCACTTTCCCTTCCCCATATTCCCAGGCCCCACAACAAACAATAAATGCTGTTTATGGTTTGGTAAGCATCCTTCCATGTTTCCTTTTCTCTCATGTAAAAAAAAAAAATACATAGATATATAAAATATACAAATACATATATTATATAAAAATATTTTAATGCTTGCTTTTTTCACTGAATAATAAGTCTGAGAATTCTCTCCATGTCAGTACATATATATTTTACTCCTTTATAATGGCTGTATAGCATCCACTTCATAATACTATTATGACACTGCTTATTTCAAACTTCAGTGGTAACCAGGTGTTAGGTAGAAATGGATACTTTTAAAGAATCAATCCTCAGCTTCTATTTGTACTCTCCCTAAATGATCTGCTTAAGAACTTGTTCTCCTTGCCTTCTTCCCCTTTTAAAATCATGAGTTTCCACTTTATAAAAGAAAGGCAAAATTCTTATCCACCTCAAATACTAAGACGTACTGTTCTGAGATGCATAAACTCCAACCAACAGAGAATTCTGGACTTAACAGATAGATTATTAAAAGAGGGAAATCCCTTGAGAGAAACAGGGGAAAAATTAAGAGCAGGATCTTATTTTGTCAATGAAACAGATTTGTGGCAAGGCTCTAACCTTTATCCATTTATCCAACCGCCAGCCTAGAATCGAGAAGTCTAGTGGTTATAATAAAGGCACAGATTAACATGTTTTAAGACAAGCCATCAGATTTTTTTTTCTTGATAAAAAGGAGTTCAATTTGGTTTGACAGTGAGAACTGGCTTTCCAAATTACATTATATGGTAGATTCTATCTATAAACAGAAATAACTAAATGTGTAGTTTTAAGGTTTGACGAAAAAAAGTATTTAACAAAAATATAACACACACTAGAAATTATGGCCTTTAAAACTATTTAAAGTTATAATGAAAAAATGTGAGATATAAAATTTAAAATGTAGAAAGGGAAATAAATGAAGAAAAGGGTTCCAGGACCCTTGGTTTATTGAATAATTCCCTTACTAAATGACATTTAAATTATTTCATTTTTCTCAACGTCAAACAATACTTCGACATATAGTTCTGAACTGCCTGTCTGGGCAAAGGTGTAAGTTTCCATTTTGATACTGAAGTATAAGATTCTTGAATCAAAGAATGCGCATATTTAAAAATATAATAAATATGCTAAATGGTCTTCCAAAAGATGAAAAATATAAGTTATACCTCTATATGCAGGGTATGAGTTCACCCTTTTCCCCAAAATCTTATAAACATCTGGTATTATCAAATTTCTGAACTTCTGTCAAACTGAAGGGAGAAGGCAATCAAGTTTTTTTTTTGAGACAAAATCTCACTCTGTTGCCCAGGCTAGAGTGCTGTGGTGTCAGCCTAGCTCACAGCAACCTCAAATTCCTGGGCTCAGGCGATCCTCCTGCCTCAGCCTCCCGAGTAGCTAGGACTACAGGCATGCACTACCATGCCTGGTTAACTTTTTCTATTCTATTTCTATATTTTTAGTTGGCCAATTAATTTCTTTCTATTTTTAGTAGAGACAGGGTCTCGCTCTTGCTAGGGCTGGTTTTGAACTCCTGACCTTAAGCGATCTTCCCGCCTCGCCTCGGCCTCCCAGAGTGCTAGGATTACAGGCGTGAGCCACCATGCCCGGCCTGGCAATCAAGTTTTAATTTGTATTTCCCAGGAAGTTGAGCACTTTTTATTTTTGTTGGCCGTGTGAGCTTCTGAAAAATTCCCTATACTATATCCCTTTTATTCCAATGAGCTGTTTGTTTTTTTTTTTTTTTTTTTTTTTTTTTTTTGAGACAGAGTCTCACTTTGTTGTCCAGGCTAGAGTGAGTGCCGTGGCGTCAGCCTAGCTCACAGCAACCTCAAACTCCTGGGCTCAAGCGATCTTCCTGCCTCAGCCTCCCGAGTAGCTGGGACTACAGGCATGCGCCACCATGCCCGGCTAATTTTTTATATATATATCAGTTGGCCAATTAATTTCTTTCTATTTATAGTAGAGACGAGGTCTCGCTCTTGCTCAGGCTGGGTTTGAACTCCTGACCTTGAGCAATCCGCCCGCCTCGGCCTCCCAAGAGCTAGGATTACAGGCGTGAGCCACAGCGCCCGGCCTGTTTGTTTCTTTTTATTGATTTATAGATACTTTTTTTTCTAGACATTAATCTTTATTATTCTATGCTTATTTACAGTTTTTTATTTGTTTTTCATTTTATGTCTCTTTTGTCATATAAACTCTTGCTATTCATAAGTGCAGTCCAGAGACCAGCAGCATCAACATCTTCTGGAAGTTTGTTAGAAGAGTAGAATCTCAGGCTCCATTTCAGACCTACTGAACTTTAACAAAATGATTCATATGCACAATAAAGTTTGAGACATAATAATAGAGGTTTTAAATTTTTACTATAGTCAGATATTACAATATTTTCTTTTATGATTCCTTTGCTAATTTTTCATACCTCCAATAAAGTGTTAGATGTCTTTTCTCTAGCTACACTTTCTGCCCAGGTGATCTCAACCAATCTTGTATTTTTATATGCCAACTATGAGCCAATGAAGTTCAAACTTTAAAATCCAGCTCTGCTCTTTCCATTCAACTCCAGACTCACAAATGCCTGCCAAGTATCTCTACTAGGGTACCTTATAATAGGCATCTCAAATTTAACATGTTCAAAGACTAACTTCTGATCTCCCCCACCAACCTCACAAAACTTGTTTTTCCTATGGTCTCGTCAAATCAGAAAATGACAAACTCCATTCTTTGAGTTGCTCAAACCAAATACTTCAGCAACATTCTTGATTCTCCTTTTTCTCATATCTGATACCCAATCCATCTCCAAAGCAAAATATATGTACATATATTCATTTACCACACTGGCTAAGCCACCATCATTTCTCAGTTAATGCAACAGTCTCTGAAGTGGTCTCTTCTGTTTCATGCCCAGAATGGCACATTAGCTAGAGTAATCCTGAAGAACCATAACTGCAGATCACATGTCATTCTTTTGCTCAAAACCCTCCAATGGCTTCCCAAGTAAAAATCACCAGATCATGACCTGGCCTTCTGATATTTGTTTATCCTCATCTCTTACTGTTCTCCCCTTCACTCATTCCTCTCCAATTACACTTGGCTTAATTGAACATGCCAAGTATACTCCCATTGCAGGATATTTGCATTTACTATTACTTCCATCAGGAATGCGGTATACCCCTAATATTTCTACAAGGTTTGTTACCTTACCAAGTTCATTCATCCCTTTATTCCATTGTTACCTTATTAATGACGTATTCTCTGACCATCTCATTTAGAATGACTGCCACCCCTTTATCCCTCCAAATCTTCACAAGCACACAGAGGCAGTTTCTATACCCTTTGCTAACTTTCTTTGCTCCATAGCACACATGACCCACCACCTTACTGTATATATTTTACTTGTTTATTTTGTTATTAGCATGTGTCTTCCACACTCCCCAATAGAAAAAGGTCAAAGAGGGTATGGATTTTTGTCTTGTTTTATATATCCCCAGAGCCTAGACCAGTGCCTAGCATACAGTAAGCACTGACATATATGAATACTTTCTTTAGACCAACCCTCTATGATGAATTTACTGACCATGCAGACATAACTGCTTCATAAGTTAGAATTTGATATCTTAAAGTTGATTATATTTTCCATGTCTATGAGCTATTCTGAGATCAGAAACATGTTTTATTCAATTTTTGTCCCCTCATCACTTATCTTGGTGTCTTAGTCATAAGAGGTATTCAATTAAAGCTGAAGATCTAAGCTGTTTTCAGAATAGGGTAAGAGGGTTAAGTAATTCTAGTTCAGCGATTCTTTCCTTTGTCCAGTAAATTCAGTACTCTGTTACCCACACCCTTTTTTCCCAAAGCTCCATAGATAAAACTCAAATTCAGTTAGCATTAAGAACTACTCCCTCAAAGGATGGGAGAAAGAAAGGAGGAAAAATGATTAGAGAAGAGAAATGAGAATGGGGGAAATGAGGAAACTGATCTGATTAGAATAAAATTTTTCTTAGTGGGGTGTAGAAAATGGTAAGATTGGTTAGGGAGAGTGGAGGCAAACCATGAGTGTCTGGAGCTCTAGTTTCTTATTTCTCTAAAGAAAAGTAATTTTATATTCAAAGAATGAAGAAGTCACAATGACCCAAATTGCAATTTTAAAAAATAAGTTTGGGAGAGAAAATTAGTTCAGATTCTCCAGAAGAGTTCAAGAAAGAACTTTAATGATTCTTATAAAATAGTGAAATATTAAAAAATAGAATACAATGAGATATTGCCAAATACCAATGAGAAAGGCTATAATAAAAATGATAATATGATATACTAATGAAAATGCAGAGCAACTGGACCACAGTGTAAAATGGGGCAGT